ATGTACCTGTCTAGGCCGCACAGAATGAGTAGCAGCTCTGCAAAATCGAATTCACGATCGGTAGCATGTAAGAATATAAAATCAGGTAGCAACTCGAGGAAGCTTGAGACTGCTTCGTATTGTTGACGGCTGAGGTGGACGACAATGGCTGAATGTAACTCGAGCACGGAACGATGAATTTTGAATAGAAAATCATTGATAAGTATAACCACATTGCCGTCGTCGAACCAGAGTCTCTCGTGTTGCGGAGGCGATGGGGCGACAGCAGGAAGGGCGTTTATCGCGTCGAGCTTCCTCTTCTTCCTCGCATGTAGGGATTCCGTGTCTGGAATGCCCTCAACATGATGCGAATATCTGGAGAATGAACGAGCGATATGGTGACAGGAGATTCTGGGACGGCGCTCTAAACGACTCACCCTTTCTTAAGCTCCTTCATTTGCGGAGTTCTGCTATACCCCAGATCCTTCAGCCCAAAGCGGAGAGCTGTGGCCAGAGATTCGTATGCGATGGTTCCAGACAGGGGCCACAGGCGAGTCCGGCATCTCCGACCGCAAGGCAAAATCGAGCCGGACGCCACGAAGCCGCAATCAAGCGCCCCACGAATGCGCATCTCACGCAGGATGTTCGTATTCAGTTGAATTTTCAACACGTAAATTACCGGAGCCAGAAGAAAAGAAGAATGTAGTCGCGGGAAATTTTGCAGGTATAATACTCCACTGCTCTAGGAGGTTCGGACGGACTATACTGGCTAAAAGTCTTATGACTGAGTGGGCCGCTCAGTAGCCCAGGTCTCTTACTATTCACCGCAGCCTGAAAACAGCGCGCACGGGTTCAGAGTCCCAGCGACGGTGTCATTTACAAGATTTCATTGGCTTATTATAAATTCTCACATCTTGCATAATGACCGGGACATTTTCTGGAGAGCGCGGATACTTGAGTGGGCCATGAGGAAGATTGCCAGTGTTCGAATATCCTTAGTAGTAACCGGCCGGCCGCCAACACAATACTCTTCAGCACACTTCTTCAAACGAGTTAGAGTCGACTGGCTTCAGATGCCGCGCCCTTTAGCAGCCATGCGTCATAAGTGTATAGTGCTCAGAGAAGCAGACGTTGTCACTGGCTACTTAAATATTAGGGAAGACATTGGGAGCAATATGCGTGGAGGAACAGAGACTAGAAATTTAATCTTCTCTATGGTATGTCTCTTTCGCCACACTACGAAGACCGTGAATTCGTTGAGTCTTTATGGCATGTAAGAGGCAATACTATACTTCTACAACTATACCAGATGAAAGTGTCTAGATCTGGTTTTTCCGACAACTCCCCAAAATATCCATAAATTAAGAAAGAAACATTGGCGGGGTCAGCGAAAATAGGTGCGACGTGTGATATCTAATATGGTCGTGAAAGTGCAGTAGAGGCTGCCCACATAGAAACATTAGCAGCGGATATTACTTATATGCTGAGTAGGCTTCAATTTCGAGAAGGTCAACGAGATGTACTGCGCGAGCACTCAATATTGGCGAGCGTCAGCAGAGAAAAGTAGAAGGTCCTGTGCTCGTACTTCCGCGAGCTCTTCCTTCCGTCTTTCCCGCCCTCCCTTGAGGCAGTGACAATTTATTTGTTGAATCTTTGCTGCAACTCAGACACGTCATTATACTACACAAACTGCAAGAGTACGCTTCTCTCACGCTGCTAGAAAATTATGTGCAACATTCTAGCTGCGATCAGGAGAGAACGACAGTGGCGGCCCCATCCTTGAACGGGACGACCCAAGCACCCGCATCTTGGACCAGCCCAGCGCTCGGCTTCAGCAGCCGCGCTCCGGAAGCGGTCGAGGTCTGGGTAACGACCAGACGCCCTTGCGGGGCGCTCGCAGCACCCGACGCGCCCTCAGGCGCCGCCGTGATTGTCACTGTGAGCGTCTGCGCCGTGGGGTCGAACACAAAGGACTCGAACGCGCCGGCGTCGAGGTCGAGGCGCGCAGAGAGCGGGGCGATGAAGACGCGGCGGCGGACCGAGTCGAGCACCTGCACCTGCACCGTGGGCGTGCTCGCCGTGAGTGTGCCGCCGAGGGCCTGCCACCCGAACTCTGGGTGCTCGATGAGCACGACACCAATGCCGAGCGCGTGTCCGACGAAGTTCGGGCCGTAGTCGCCTGAGTAGGCGTCCCACGCGAGCGTGTCTTCGAAAGAGTGGAAGGACGCGGACGCGAAGCCACCTTGGTCGATGTTTGAGAGCGGGCCGCTCAGGCCGCCATAGGCGACGCGCAGGAGGTAGTAGTCTGTCGGGGACAACTCAAACTGAGCCATCAGCGGAAGTGCGTTGAGCCCGCTACCGTAGTGGTGGATCTGCCGCTCGATACGCATGAGCTTGCCGCCATAGATGTTGTCCCTTGGGTGCCTGTCAGCAAACGGAACTTTGCAGAGACGTAAAGAGACTTACCAATAGCGTCTTGCGTTGCCGTTATAGCCCCAGTGAGGCACAGTTGGATCGTAGGCAATGATGGAGTCGATCACGTTCTGGGCGGTGGTGGTATCATTGAAGTACGTAGACCAGAGGTAGACTCCTTCCTGGCCAGTGGAATCCCATGCCATCTCCGACCCGAATCTACAGGCAGAATTAGTCAATGAATTGTAGATATAGACCGAGCGAGGGCCACATACGGGAACCGCTCAGTTGCCCAGAGCTTAGCCCGAGTTTGCATACGACTCTCAACGAGGCTTGCGTTCGCGGTGAGACCTTCCCGCTGGAGGTCCGCTAACAAAAACCGGATGACGGTCTCATCCATCAGGCCATCAGTCGCGTATCCAACGTCCCCAGCAGTCATGCGCTTGACAGTTAAGACAGCTTGGTTCAAGTACCACTGCCAGGTATGAACCTTCACGAGCGACGGGTAGTTACGAGCAACACGGTAGAGCGCCCAGTATGCCGCCTATGAGAAGAGGTCAGCCACACACAGTGTACGAGTTGGAAGAGGCTTACAGTAACATGAACGAAGTCGTAGGCACGATTGGTCGCAAAGGAGGCTTCCTGATCCCAGGACCACCAGTTACCCCAGTCGATGGTGCTCGGATAGCTGTAGTTGGGAACCAAGCTTGGCTGGTAGAAGTACACAGACTAAGAAGGAATCACGCGTCGTCCACGCTGTTCGTAACGGACAGGAACGTAGACTCACCATCTTCACACTGCCGTCTGAATCTTGTACAGATCCCCACAGCGTCTGGTTAATGTACTGCTCGAGCTTCGCGACCTCCTGCGCATTGGGCTGCACGAACTGCTTCATCGTCGCCGCGAGCCACGACCCCGCGCCGGCCTCGTCGCTCAGCCCGGGAATCCACGCCCTCTCGTCGTCCTTGATGACGGCATTCACCGAGCGGTCGTAGCTGATCACGGACGGCGAGCGGCGAAACGGGTCCGACGGCTCGTCGAACCACTGCTCGGTCGTGAGGAAGCTGCCGAGGTCCGCGATGACGGTCGTCGCGGCCTTCGTGACGTAGTAGTGCACCGTCTGTACCGTGCCGTCCGCGTACGCGACCGTCAGCCGCGCGCGGCCCCACGTGTGTCCCGTCAGCGTGTAGCCGACCCAGGCGTCGCTGCGCGCGTCGGTGTTCGGCGTCCAGAACAGCGCGCCGGCCGGCGTAACGGAGAGGTTCTGGACGGCGCTGGCATAGCTGAGGAAGAGCTTCGTGGATTGGTCCATAGGCAGGATATACCCCGGGAGGCCCACGACCACCGGACGCGCCACGGCCTGCAGGGTATCCTCGATCTCGCGGATGGACGGCGCAAGGTTGAATTGCAGTCCGTACGTGCGCGTCTGGCCCGGGGCGAGCGTCACAGAAGACGGCGCGTTCCACGGAGTGGCGTTCGCCCACTCGTTTTCTGCGTACGCGAGCGTGTGGAATTGCCACTCGTACAGGGCCTCGAAGGTCTGTGACTGGTACGCTGTCGGCGTGTTGGTCGCCTCGGGCAGGAAACGCCAGCCCTCGAGCGGCGACTTGCCGACCGGAGTGACCACGAGAGGGGGCAGGGTGCCGAGAAGCGGAGTAACCTGGACGTAACCTGCGTCCTGCCCAATGTAGGGATCAAACAGGCTGCATATTTCATTAGTTTGGGTGGAAGTTCGATTGGTAAAGATCTATGGAACGAATTAAGTATTAAAAAAATCGCTCTTTAAAATTGCGAAACTTGCATTGTTGAACTCGAGAGGAGCACCAAGAGCTCCAATTTCGACTGAAGTATTCGCAGCGTTCGCAACATCGAAAAGCAGCTGCAGAGTCCCATTCTCGACCACCCAGCGCCGGGTGATGTTCAACGGAGAGGAAGGCAGCGTAGGCGCAAGATTAGAGGAAGCGACCGTGGAGCCTGAGGCGATACCAGGAGTAACAGTGTGGCGGGCGACAGAAGTATCGCCTTCGATCCATGCCTGCGAGCCAACCGCACGCACTCTGAACGTGATGTCTCCGAGGTGGTAGTTTCCGTTGTATTGCCGCAAAGTCATCTGGTCCGTAGGTATGAAGTCGAATCCAGATCCATTCTTAGGCTTCAGGGAGTACAGAGTCTGCGAATCTTTGACGAGCTGGACGGAGAAAGTTGGAGTGTCAAACGAGATGAAGCCATCGGACAGGCCGAGCGATGGCTGCTGAGCTGTGGCAAGGCAAGCACAGAGTGCAGCAGCAGCAAGAGATGCGACCCTCATGCTGTACGCGATGTCGGGGAGAAGGGAGGGAGGATCGTGCAGACCGAGGTGCTGCGCCAACTCCTACTATGTATCGTCACCCTATAGTACCTTCAACGAAAGGTATAACCCCGGGGCTATCAGGTATGATGCAACCAGCCGGCCGTCAGGTGAGCTCGTACAACATGGCAGGCAGTCGACAAGAGGCCAGGTGGACGAGCTTCCGATGCCCCGCCAACACTTCTTGCAAATAGAGCGGGCCGGCAGGAGGAGCAGTGCAGCATGGCACACAGGGCGTACACTGCAGCATTCTTCCGGTGCCGAGTGTAAGGCGATCTCAGTTCTGGCAAGGAAGGAGCGTAATTAAGGAGAAGCAGACGACAGCATGTGCGAGAGTGCGGCCGCTCGCAGGTCGGCAAGCGCTTATGTCGTCGTGGCGTCCGGAAAATTCCTCGTCCACGACTCAGCATTCGTTTCGGGACCGTGCATTGGAGCGCGGCGCGAAAAGAAGCATGCTCTTATAGGCTGTGTGGTACAACGATATAACAAAATTACAGAATAAAATTCAACGATCAATGTTGTCGGCGCCCAGGCCTGCGGTATCACGGGACCACGTCGCCCTTCTCCTTCTCCTTCTCGTCGCGAACGTCGCCGTCGACCGAGTCGGGGTGTCCTTCGTGAAGCGGCTTGTGCGACGGGCGCCACGACGCCGAGTGCCACGGCCTGACACCGGCGCGGTACATCTCGTCGACCTCCTCGAGGCTGAGGCCGCGCGTCTCGGGGATGCACAGCCACACGTAGCAGAAGCCGAACACGAGCATGCCGCAGAAAATGAGCAGGATGAGCGGCCCGATGTCGTTCGCGATGCGGGGCGAGAAGAACGAGAGGAGGAAGTTCCACAGCCAGTCTGGCGCCACGCAACAAAAGTCAGTCGTGTGTGCAACACCACAATGGAGGAGGGCAACACTTACTGGTCGCACTCCCGAGCGCGATGCCTTTCGGGCGCACGCGCAGCGGAAAGCTCTCGCCGAGGTACACCCACGGCGTCGGGCCCCAGAACATCGAGTAGCTGAACACCTGCAGCACCGCGAACGCGATGAGCAGGTTGCCGCCCCGC